GGAGCACGGCAAGCGGCCCGTGATGATGTCAGCCCGCAGCTGCAGACACAGGTAGTATCTGGGGGGGAAAGGAGGGGCCGCTGGTGAGATGGGGGTGAGGACAACGGGAAACGCCTTGGTGAGCTCTTCGGGGGGCCAGGCAGATTCTAAATGGCCCAGGGGTTCGCCCATCGCAGGGAGATGGTCACTGGGGTGGGGTACACGGACATGGGGTGCACAGCCAACAACAGTTAAAGCCATCACTGTGCCCCCGTGACCAGGAGCAACACCCCCCTTCCCCCCCGTCTAGTGCCCCTGCACTCAGGACGGATTCCCTCGCCCTCTGCCAGGGATGGACCCTCCGCCCCATGCCCAGGATGGACCCCATTGCCCATGGCCCCAGACCTGGGTCAGACCCTCCCACCCAGTCCCCCCCACAACACACCCAGAGGAACACAGTCACACCCTGCGCATGCACACACACCTCCTGCACTCTGCCACACTACACACTGGGCCAGTCCCCTCCCTGACCCACCCAACACACACAGGTGGCCACGTCCTACACATAGGTGGCCGTTAACGCACACACGGTCCCACCCATCGTGCCGCTGGCTCTCTGGACAGATGCTGTCTGTCAGGGAGGGGAGGAAGAGCCCTGGGGCGTGGCAGCGTACCGAGTGCCCCATGGCCCCTCACCTTGTGATGTCCTCTGTGAGCTGGGCAGGGTCGGGTGGGTAGAATTTAACAGTGAAGGCAAAGTTCCAGGGGCCACCTAGGGAGAGGAAGAGCGAGAGAATAAGGGGCAGCATGTTCCCCATGTGCCTAGGACACGTCCTCCCCGAGGGCACCCGCCCCCCAGCCTGGGCTCAGTGTAGGGAGCCCATGCCTGTGTCCCACCCCTTCCCAATGCCCAGGGCCCCTGGGGCAGGCAGAAGGATGAGGCGATTCCCCTATGGTTGCTACCTGAGTGCCCAGAGAGATTAACCCGCCGACCATGGGTTGCTCAGGGGATCTGCAGACTGTGCTTCCTGCAGACCCTACCACCATCTGTCCAGCCGAGAGCATCACTGGCCCAGCCGAGATCTGCCCAGCCTCCGCCATGCAGGGATGCCACCTCTTCCTGTCGCCACAGCAACAAGCCCCGCATTTCCCAGCAAGGCTCCCTGAGGTCCACCATTGGTGAGGGCCCCCCCATACCCCACAACGTCTCTGCAAGCCACTGCCCGGCCCAGCTAACCAG